GGCCGCCGCAGCCTCCGCCGTCGTCGCAGCTGCCTCCGCCACCACCGCCGCCTCCTCTTCCTTGGCCACCCCAGAACTGGGCAGCAGCCTCAAGAAGAAGAAGCGGCTCTCCCAGTCGGATGAGGATGTCATTAGGCTAATAGGACAGCACTTGAATGGCTTAGGGCTCAAGTAAGTATCCCTTACCGGCAGCTGCTGATGGACAGACCGATGGACGGAGGCTGGGGGGCGGGGAGGCTGAGAAGAGCTCGGTCAAAGAGAATTATTGCTGGGCACCCAGGGCCCAGCGCAGAGGAGGACGCGGCCGAGACAGGCCGACCCGGGAGGAGCAGCGGATCCGAAGGGAGATGGGGGGAATCCATCAGCCTGACAAATTGGGAGACTAGACAGGCGGGTGGGGGAGTGGTGGAGAGGGGTTGTAGAAACTGGAAGGATGACCCCCTCCCCGTACACCTTCAGAGCTTAATTGTCTGTCAATAAAGACAGATGCGAGAGTGTGTCTCTGTATGTGTTGGGGGAGGGGTGGATTAGGGCTGGTGGAAATAATGAACCTTGGAGGATTTGTTTTTCGAGTGTATCTCAGAGGCATCTTTGTGGGACACCTCCCCACCCCCAGCCAGGACAGACAACAACCCAGGCAAACTACCAATCAGGAAAGGCAATCACCTACAAGTGCTCATTCTGACCGAGGGACTGGGATAATTTGCAAAGAGGTCGTGGAATAAATCTGATGGGAATAATGAAGTAAGAGACCGTGTTGATACCATTTAAAGGCCCGTATGTGTGTACAAGAGGCCTAGCACTAGTCTGAAATCCCAGTTTAATGCCACGAAAGTGCCTCTGAAAAGCACATCTGATCTGGTGAATCATGTTTTCAAACAGTTTAGCTAGCCTTGTATAGGTAACATAGGGTGAAGGAAGACACCGACCTTGGCCAAAAACCTGTTTTGTGTACACACAAAGGGAAACCAAAGTGGAAGGTTGGATTGGTAGGAGTGCCCTCCAGCTTGGAGGAGGTGGGAAGAAAGGCAGAACCAAATTGAGATGAAGGGGGAGAAATATGCAACAGTTTCCTAGGTTCAAAGCACAGATTAAAATAATCTCTTAGGCTATCTGGTGTGAAGTGTCAAATTTATGGATTTGTTGGAAAATGGAGAGGACAGCACTTTTTTAAAAGTGACATTCATATTTTGGTCGTCGGATCTTTGCACTATTTAGCTGAAAAGTTAGAGCTGAATAAGAAAACAAACACAAATTTACTGTATAACACTGATAAGTGAAGGTTCTTAGATACCAAACTCTGATGGTAGAAACCACATTTGGTGAATCTTTGAAGCTCCCAAGGAGAAATACACCATTGGAAGATTTTACTTGATCCCCAGAGGAAAAGGACTAGTATGAAAACAGATTTTGTAAATGCTAACATACTGTATTACTGAGACAAGAAGCGAGCTGACAGCAGCAGGAGGAAACTCGTGACTGTTTGGAACCTACACCATAGTAAATTGGCTATTTTTAGTATAGAGAGAAAGGGTATGATTTTTTGATGCGGGATTTATTTTAATTTTAAGGATTGACCTAGTAGGCTTTCTATGTGAACTTAATATCGATGTAAGACTCTTACCTAACACAGTTCAATTGTCACCTTGTATGGAGCCAATCATTTTTATCTTTCAAAATATAGTACCATGGGTAGTATGTAGATCCTGTTTTTTCATCTATTTGACCAGTTGGTTACAGCCCATTTTTAGACATTTTACACTTCATTAAACTTTTAAGGCATTTTATGGCAAAACTTACTCTGATTCTGGTTTCAAGAAAGGTTTTTAATTGACTAGGAAGAGATGTAAGTGGCAGTTCTAAATCGAGTTGGTTTAACTATTTTTTCCCTTCATCATGAGCTTAGCTTAAAAAACTGTTTCTATAGACATTAGTTTATTTGGGAAGAGTAAAACTAAAGTTGGCCAGGTCTTTTTTACACTGTATCTCTCCTGCAGCCAGACTGTTGATCTCCTCATGCAAGAGTCAGGATGTCGTTTAGAACATCCTTCTGCTACCAAATTCCGAAATCATGTCATGGAAGGAGACTGGGATAAGGTAAAGTAGGGCATATAGAGCTGTGTGACTGCTGCTAAAATTAAATATTTGATGGGCATTTTGTGACATTTCTGTTTTTCTTTACCAATTTTTACAGGCAGAAAATGACCTGAATGAACTAAAGCCTTTAGTGCATTCTCCTCATGCTATTGTGGTAAGAGGCGCACTTGAAATCTCTCAAACGTTGTTGGGAATAATTGTGGTAAATACACTTTTGTTCTTAGTTTCACATTTATGCTTATTTTAATAGGTTATTGATAACTCTAGGCTTCTACCTCTTATAAAAGATAAGGTGTGAAAGTAGTTAAATTTTATGTAATTAATTTAAATTTGTAAACTAGCATGAGTGTTTACAGTTTTTTAAAGTATGAGTTTTATACCTTTTAAAAGCATTCTTAGTAAATGTGTGATTTGAACTTGAGTTTTATACCTTTTAAAAGCATACTTAGTAAATGTGTGATTTGAACTTAGTTTATAAGTTAACCTCTACAAAAATTATATTGAAAAATCTTAATGTTTTCAGTGCTGTTAATAGGAGTTTATATTTATAGACTCAAGGATAAATTATACTTTCATATTACTTAAAATACTAAGTGTGCCAGTTAAAGAGAAAATGTGTTTGTGTGTGTATAGCCATACAGCCTTATAAAACTTTAAATGATACATTAATTGTCTTTTTTTAATGTTTGGGAATTATAGTTTATTTACACCAACTCCATCGGCATGTTGCCATATTCCATTCTTGAATTCCAGTTGTATGAATGACTGTCAAAGTTCTTAGTGTGTATCACTCTAGTGGAGGGTTTATAGTCAGCTTTGACTGTGGGCCCTGTTGACTGGCCTTATTTTCTAGAGAAGGTCAGTTTAGCACTTTAACCCATTAGCCTCTTTCATAAATCATAATGAATCTTTTATACTGATGGACTTTAATTCTTAAGTAGATGTTGGTGAGGTAGAAGAAAGAATACAATTTTTGAAGTGCTTGTAACTGGAAACTGAAGAATCAGCTGCTAGGTGGTAGCTTCTGGCCCTTTAACTTCTAGCTGATTCATTTGTTGTCAAAAGCAGTTTCCTGTCCAGTGGGGGAGGGAAAGAAGGCCAGTAGGAAGTGAAGTAGGGAAACCAGCTGTTTGTTAAATATTAGTAAGTGGCTGTTAACGTTTTTTTTAAATTGAGTCAAATATTAATCTTTTCTGCTTTTGTCTATAAACTTAATAGGGGCTTCTGGGTTTTCACTTTTTTTTTGAAATCTTATTACAAAAGTTCTCCACTTTTTAATGCAATTCTCTACAATAATATAATCTTAGAGAATGATCTTCAGGTGACTTTAAGGTACAAACAAATATAAACAAATATGAATTTCTTCAAACTGATTATCTTTATTATTTTAATTTTTCCATTAATTAATACCCTAAAATTTTTAAGTTATTGAGTCAGATGATTTATAATAAATTAAATTATGGAGTAATCAAATCCATAGTATAATTTAAAAGTAAAAGCAAAAGTTAAAGTAGTTAAAACATCTATATTCAAAAAGATTACAAATTTTTAGTAACTAAAATCTTCTAAATCATTGTGTTTGGCTTTGAAAAGACACCCAAGAATATTTTAATTGGACAGTTTTTCAAAAATGGTTAGCTCTGACTAAACAAGCTAAAATAAAAACAATTAAGTGGCCAAAATAAAAATTGGGATTCCTTTCTTATTGGGCAAGTTAACACTGCTTATGTGTTGACAGTAAAGAACTTGCCTACAGACTGTTTTTAAATAAATATGTCTGATTTCTCGGAGGTTTTCTCTTTTTCAGCTTCACCCAAATTATATCTGTAATTTAGTAGTGAAAATTTTAGTAGACTTTCTATTTTTTTATTTGTTTATAGTAATTTGAGACTTCTATATTGGATTTAGATTATGGCTTTCTCTCATTAGAAACCTTCATTAGAAGCAACAAGTAGACCAAAGAAAGGTAGTTGTAGATAATAAGGAGGAATCCTTTCTTTTTACAGCCTGTTCAGTCTGTAGAACACTAGATCTAATAAAGATGAAGATAAAATCTCTGACTGAGCCTCACCCCTCAAACTAAACAGTTTAGGTATTTATACAAAGAAAAGGGTTCCACCTTTTAGCTCACTTAAGCATTGATGAATCAATCGCTTTAGAAGATTGAGTTCAGCATTTTTTGAAGTTGCTCTTCACCTTTCTAATTGTATTTCAGTTTATTCCCTTCTCCCACCCTATCTTCAGAAGAATATAATCTGATATAAGCTTAAATTTGTAATAGGCTCTGATAGATGTTGCTATTCAGTAGACTGAATAGCAGGAGGCCCATGTTTGATTCCTGGTCAACCCTAAAAAAAAATTGGCATGGTGGCACATGCCTGTGGTCCTAACTACATGGCACCTGAGGCAGGAAGCTCATGTCATAGTGAGGCCTTGCTTTTAAACAAGTTGTAATAATATCTTAGAAGATAATCATTTGAGTTTTTGAAAACAAATTATTTTTAATTGTATACCCAAACACAAATGATAACTTAGTCTAGACTAAAGTTGTGCTTTTTTAAACCTGAATGTTTATATTAACTCATTCCCCCAGCCCTCCATTTTTAAATGGTTCTAGTCAATACTAGGAACAGCAGAAGTTGCTCAGTTTTAATTTGGATTCAAATATGCTTAGCCATGTCCGGAAAATTTAGAGACTTTCATATGTCTAAAAATGTTTGATTCTTTATTTTTTAAAATAATAGAAATATATTTAGTAAATGTTAAAATACTAACTGACATGCCAAAATTAATATAAATAAGGAGTAGTTTTGAGAGCCATGGTTTAAATATAATTCCTTTTCCTTTTCCACTAAGCCATGATTTAATTGCTGCAACCTGGTTACAACCTTATTCAAGAGTTAGATCCATTACTAAGTTAGCTAGGACTCTGTTCCTAATAACCAGACTTTCTATGTATCATAAGTTGGTGTTTTGTTTTATTTTCATATTTAATCTATCTATTAGTACAGGAGGAAGGGAAAAAGCAATGCAAATATTGGATGTGGGGTATTTGGGAACAGCAGAATTTGTAATGTGGAAACTATACACTATCCTAGTCATATGTCAAGTTTTTATTAGATATTAAAAGGAAAAAAGAAATATTGCACAGCCGAAAGATATTGAAAAATCTTCAGAAACCAGAAATAATCTCTCAGAAGTCTGAGAGTTGGAGAAAAACTGAATAGGTTTTATTTTCTCAGCTTGTTATAAAGAACAGAATCTTTAAAAAAAAAGAGAGAGACATTTTCCCATATCAGCAAGTTTCAATTTTGCCTAATATTTACAACTTTTTCAGTAAATAATTAGTACGATTTGTGAATTAAAAGGTCTTTATTTTCTTGAGATTATATTTACATTTATATGCTTTACATTTTAGGAAGTAAAATACAGTTTTATTCCCTATCCTTACCATATATGTCAAATTTCTGAGCTGAATTGATCTTTTAGGAGAATAAATATTTTCTCTTTCAACTAGATCTCTAGCTGTGCCTGGCCAGCCGCACATTAGTTGCCATGCATAATACCAGGATTTGGTATCTGTTTGAGGATATTCTTTGTCATAATCTGGATAAAGTGACTCATAGAGAAAGACTCATAACATTCCTTGTATATACAGAAATACATATTTATACTGGCTTCTCCAAGTTTTAGTCACCTTCCTCCTCCTGCCAGACTCTGCCCCATAGAAAGAGAATAACAGTTCCTGTCAAGATCTTGGTAGGAAAATAAGGACAAAATAGCTTTTGGGGGCATTGTCCCTATACATATCAGACTAGAGGAAGGGGTAGATACAGACTGAATGACTAATATCAAAATATGTAAATGAATAAGAGACTTGCCCTGAATTAAAAAGAAAGAAGGAAATCTCCCAAATTCTCAGTTGCTAGGAAAATTTAATGAAGAAAGTAAATCACATGCTAGGCAGTTTAATGTGGCATGTAAATGAAAAATATTTTGCAAAATGATTCTCAAGTTTGAATAAAAAGTGCACTACATGGAGCCGGCCCCATGGCCTAGTGGTTAAGAGACCTGGATCCATGGGACCAGTGGTTGGCATAATGGTTATGTTGCTGGACTCCCATGTAGTCGACCGCGGTTCGAGTCCTAGACCCAGTGACCCCTTAAACTCAGGCCAGATGTGCGTGTGTGCATGCCCAAGATCCCAAGAGGAGAAAGGAAGAGAAGGGATTGCAGCGTGGCCATCACCCCTGGGGGATAATTTCTCCCTTTCTGTCTCTCTGTTTCTCTCTTTCTGGCGAGCACACATTCCCTATAGTAAAAACCTCTCCAAAAAGAAAAACAAGAGACCTGGATCCTACATGGCCAACTGCGCTGTTTGAATCCCAGGCCCAGGGGCTTGGAAAACATACCATGTGTATATGTCCAGAATGATGATAGGATAGAAAAATGGAGAGGCGATTGTGACCCAACCATGACCCGTTGGGAGTAGGCGGGGTACTTTCTCCCTCTCCCTCTCTCTCTGGTGAGTAGACACTTCTGGCAAATAGACCAAAAAAATGCATTAAAACGAAATGAAACTTTAAACAGTGTATCAGTAAATGGGAAGATAGTTCCTTTTTATTTCCTAAGTATTATTTTTCAGAAGATAAAATGGTGAGAATATCCAGAATAACTTCAGATACAAAATACTTCCATTTTTAGGTTTTTATTTTGTTTAGTTTTTGGTTTTTGTCACCTGTTGAACTTAAAAATATTTTTTTATTTGACATATAAAGGTATACTTAAGGCCATGTATACAGTAGCAGACAGTTCAGGATATCTTAGTAATTAACTTATTTCTGAAATTCCTTAATGTATAAAATTTGTTAAGTATAATTTTCCTAGAGTTATAGGCACTTGTTCTATTTGAATTTTTTTTTTTTATTCTCTAGCTATAGATTTAAGATTAGGTTATTTTCAGACATAAACAATGTATCTTGTAGGGTTCACTTTTGCTTACTTTCTATAAAAACTACTTTTTATAAGCTTGTTTATGCTTTTCTACTAAATACTCTTTCATAGACCATCTTAGAGCAGCTCATACTTTTAATTTGGTAAATAACTGGTAATTTCGCCACACCATTTTGCAATAGTTTATTTTTAATGGCTTTAAACTAAGCATCCTATCAAAGGAACAAAAGCTGTGATTTAGGTTTTTATTTTTAATGGGCTTGAGATTTTTACCACTATATTCCTTGGAGTCTTTAAATATAACTAATATTCCCCACCTACTAACTTATATCATTTAGCTTGCACAAGCAATAAAAGTAGCAGATAGGTGAAAGAGTCCTTCCAAGCAGTGGACCTTAATTAGGTTTAAGGTTTAAAAGGAATTCCATACATTATATTTATAACCCATCTCTTTTCTGTGGTAAAAGCTGCTAAAGGTTGTAGTGATCAACTTTCAAGTTAAAATAATAAAGTAAATAATAAAGTAATCTTAAAAGGTATTAAAGCTGGACCAGCAGATAGCATAATAGCTATGTTGCTGGACTCCCATGTAGTTGACCATGGTTCAAGTCCCAGACCCCGTGGCTTAAAATCACGCCAGGCACGTGTGCGTGCGTGCCCAAGATTCCGAGAGGAGAATGGAGGAGAAGGGATTGCGGCATGGCCATTCCCCCGGGGTGATCTCTCACTTTCTGTCTCTCTGTCTGTCTCTGACTTTCTGACAAGTGCATGCTCCCTATAGCAAAAACCTCTCCGCCCATAAAAAGGTATTAAAGCCAAAACAGGTTTCCGAAAACAAAATGTAATAGTACTTTACAGTAAGCTTGAAAATGGTGTTACCCTTTGGGAGAAAAGAGCTCATAATAATAGTCTGTGTTTCAGTAGTTAAACACATCAGTGATCAGATTGTTAGAAATACAAGTATCGAAGCTTTTTGAAGACCCTTAATTTAGCCTTCTGATGTAGGCATCCCTTTTTAACCTCTGAGAAGGGAGTGAGACTAAAGCTTCTGCTTTTCCACTTTAATCATAAGAGATTCACCACTTTGTACACCTGCCTCTAGTCCATTCATTGTACAGCCTTTCATAAATTTGATAAACCAGAATTTGACACTTCATAATTACTGCCCTGTGGCTCTAGCTCTAATTGTGCTTCAGCTCTAATTCTGCTTCATGGTCCTAGTTATTCCCTCATTTACATCATGACTTTATAATAATTCCTATATTACCTGGATTTTCTCTAAACTTTTCAAAACTTGTTGGCTTGGGACCAGCAGTTAGTGTAATGGCTATGTCGCTGGACTCCCACATAGTCGACCGTGGTTCGCGTCCCAGACCTGGTGACTTAAAACTCACGCCGGGCACGTGTGTGTGTGTGCCCAAGATCCCAAGAGGAGAATGGAGGAGAAGGGATTGCGGTGTGACCATCCCCCCTGGGGGTGATTTCTTTCTTTCTGTCTCTATGTCTCTGTCTGTCTGGCGAGCACATGCACCCTATAGAGAAAACCTCTAAAAAAAAAAAAAAAACAAAAAAAAACTTGTTGGCTCAATCTTCCCCTTTACCTTCAGTGCCTATTTAAAAAGTCAAACTTTTAAAAAGTAAATTTAGAATACTTGGAATAGTCTAAATTTTTATGCAAGACATACATTTCTATGGGAATGTTTTGAGAGCAGAATTTATTTTTTCTAATGTTAATGCCTTGGTCTCTAATAGTGTCAGATTTGAGATGATTCATTCAAAGTAGGTTTATTAATGTGGAATTGTGCAAAGTACCTTTAATCTACCATGACTCTATTAAATCAGAGTATTTTGAGTCATCGTGAAGCTTTATTAAAAAGGTTTTTTTTCGAAGGGCATAGTAGAATGGTTTCTACTGTTCTGTTTAGGCACAAACATTTTCTGAAACTTCCATCAACTTTTTTCCCCTGACTGCTGCTTTCTGTCATGTCAGAGGATGAAGTTTTTGCTGCTGCAGCAGAAGTACCTGGAATACCTGGAGGATGGCAAGGTCCTGGAGGCACTTCAAGTTCTACGCTGTGAATTGACGCCACTGAAATACAATACAGAACGCATTCATGTTCTTAGTGGGTAAGGAAGTTAAATACTTAGACTCCAGAATGATAAAGGACTGTTATTTTTACAAAGGTTACCATTGGCCAAAGTTGTACTTCCTTAACATTTTTTTTCAAGATAAAACTCCTGAATATTGCTAAATTTTCAGCAAATACTTGTCTGAGTAAATTTATTTAGATAGGTTCAAACCATTTTTATGTCATCTTAGGAAGCTGTCTGTTAGGATAGAAAAATATTTAAGTGGGTGTGGGTAAAAGGGAGAAAAAATATGAGACACTAATTTCAAAATACTCTATAAAAAACCTGTGACATGCATGGATCACAGGAAGTAAGGAAGTTTCCAATTTTGGTGCATACAACATTTTTGGGGGGAGTCGGGGTATACACTCCTGACAGGGTCTTGCCACACAGGAATCCTCTTGCCTCAGTCTCCCAGCCAGTCAGGATCAGAGAAGTGCTGCTGCACCCAGCATGTTAGGTTGGTCTGGGAACTGAACCTGGGTCTCTACATGGCTCCAGCAATGGTGCTTTACCACTTACGCCACCACAGCTTGGCCTCTAAGTCTTTTGTTTTTATTTATTTATTTTTTAAATGGAAGCGTGTCATGTACTTAGTCCTTGCTAAGCATTTCACATACATAATCTTAACCTATGTTCTCACTTCAGTCCTTTAAATGTTGAGTACTCTTTATAAATAATCTCATTCTCTACCATGCTTTCATATACTATCTGTGTGCTAATGACTCTGAAGTTTGTCCCTTCATCTGAACTCCCAATGTGACCTACTTCATGATTTCCACTTGGATGTGAAATAAGTTTATCAAAATTGTGGTTTTTTTTTTTTTTTTTTTTTAAATTTGCCAGAGGACACATGTACTCGCCAGAAAGGGAGGGAGAGAGAAAGCACCCTCCAGTGAGATGTGGTCATGCTGCAATCCCGTCTCTATTTCTCCATCCTGTCGAGATTTAGGGCACACACACAGGCACATCTGGCATGTTTTTAAGTACTGGGCCCAGAATACAAACCGTGGTTGGCCGTGTGGGTTTTGGCTTCCTTAACCATGGGGCCAGCCCATAAAACTTATATATTCAAGGCACTACCAGATGGCATAATGGTTACATCGCTGGACTTCCATGTGGTTGACTGCAGTTTGAATCCCGGACCCGGCGGCTTAAAATTCACACCAGGCACCCAGAATCCCAAGAAGAGACTGGAGGAGAAGGGATTGCGGTGTGGCCATTCCCTCTAAGGGATGATTTCTCACTTTCTGTCTCTCTGGTGAATGCACACTCCCTATAGCAAAAACCTTCCTTTAAAAAAACAGTTAAATATTCAAAACAAAATTTTTTTTTTTTTTGGAGAGATTTTCACTGTAGGGCGTGTGTGCTCGCCAGACAGACAGAGACATAGAGACAGAAAGCGAGAAATTACCCCCCAGGGGGGATGGTCACGCCACAATCCCTTCTCCTCCATTCTCCTCTCGGGATCTTGGACACGCACGCACACGCGCCCGGCGTGAGTTTTTAAGCCACCAGGTCCGGGACACGAACCGCGGTCGACCACGTGGGAGTCCAGCGACATAGCCATTACGCTAACTGCTGGTTCCCTCAAAACAAAATTTTTAATTACAATTGCACCTCCACCCATTCTATCCCTACAGATCTGTGTCTCTAGTAAATAGCAAGACCTTCTACCCAGTTATTCAAATGAAAAATTTAAGCCTCATCTTTGGTTTTTCTTTCCTTTTTTTTTAAAGAGAGATTTTTGCTATAGGGTGCGTGCACTTGTTGGAGACACAGAGAGAGAAAGCGAGAAATCACCCCCAGGAGCAATTTCCCCACTGCAATTCTTTCTCCTCCATTCTCCTAGAATTTTGGGCACCTGTACACACATGCCTGGCATGAATTTCAAGCCAGCGGGGTGTGGGACTTGAACTGCAGTCAACCCTGTGGGAGTCCAGCACCTTAGTCACTATACCACCTTCTGGCCCCATCCTTTGTTTTTAAAATTTGACATGTTAAGCATCCCAAATTTGTCAATTTCTATCTCTGCAGTTTATATCCTAGTAAATCTATACACTTGGCCCCTACAATATTATCGTAGCTTCTTATTTAACTGCATTGCTATCACCCTTGTTCCCTTAACAGTGCATATTTCACACAGCAGCCAGAGAAATACATAAATTAATTCATTTCCTTCTCTTGTTTAAAATCTTCCACTGGCTTTCCCGCACACTTAACATCCAAAATCTGCTCAAGTCCTCAAGATCCTTGACCCTTTCCTGCCATCTTTTCTCTTATTCATTAGTCTTGAGTGACAGTGTTCTTTCTGTTCATTAATTTTGCCAAGCCTTAAGGCATGTATACTACCTGTCCCTTCTATCTTAAATGCATTTCCCCTAATCTTTGCATAGCTGGTTACCAGTTAGGTATCAGCCCAAATGTTCTCTTTTAGACTACTCACTGAACCCTTGCTGTCATATCAGTCTATTTTAAAATTTTTTCCCCAGTAGCATTATTCACTATGATATGGCCCCAGCATTTTAAATAGTAGCTGATAAATTTAATGAGTTTTCTCTTCTTCTTTTTTTTCCTTTTGCTACACAGCACATGCCACTTGCCAGAGAGAGAGACAGAGGGGGAAGGTGAGGAAGCATCCTGCAGGAGGGATGACCATGCTGCAGTCCCTTCTCTCCCACTCTCCTCTGGGAATTTTGGGCACGCATGTACACATGCCTAGAGACTTTTTCAGGCAGCTAAGTCCAGGTCTCAAAACTCTGTCAGCCATGTGGGATCCAGCCACCTTAACCACCACGCCATCAGGCTGGCCCCATGAGTTTTCATTTCCAAATGATAAACAAGAGAATGAGTATACAATGGTATCGGGTTAATTTTGCAGATAAAGAAACTGAACCTCAAAGAAATAACCAGCCCAAGATAAAGCTGATAAATCAGATAGCCAAGACTCAAAGCATAGTTTGCAGTCAAACTGCAAAAGTTTGTATTCTTTTGAAAGTCTTTGGTCTTAACCCACCACATTTTGAAGTAGTAAATTCTGCTAAGTTCTTATTGTGACTGACAGATGACCTTTTTCTGATTACCTTTTCATAAGGTATCTGTTTTCTTTCAGTTTTTTGTTTTTGGGTTTTTGTTTTGTTTTTGCTTTGTTTTGTTTTGTTTTGCCATAGGGGAATATGCACTTGCCAGGGAGAAAAAGACAAGGGAAAGTGAGAAGTCACCCCCTGGAGGGATGGCTCCCTTACGTTTCTTTCCCCATTCTTCCCTCCAGGTTTTGGGAACACATGCATATGCACTTGGCATGTTTTCCAAGCCAATGCGTCCAGGACTCAAACCATGCAGTTGACCAAGTGGGATTGAGTGCACTAACCATGATGTCACCTAACGGCCCAGGTGTCTGTTTTCTTTATCACCCAAATATCATTCACATGATGAATTTTTTCTCTGCTCTGATAACAGAATATAATTCAACCATAGTTTTTATTTTCAAGTGAACTTCAGCATCAAGTTTACCCCCTGAATTGTTTAAATAGAGCAGAGGTGGCAATATGTGGAGCTGGGACCAGAACTCAGGGTTTCTTCCTTTCAGTCCAGTGTCCTTTCAGTTACATAAGTTGAGTATCCTTAATCAGAAAATCCAAAATCAAAAGTGCTCCAAAATCCAAAACTGTTTAAATACCAACATAATGCCATAAGTAGAAAATCCCACACTTTACCTCATGTGATGGATCACAATCAAAACACTACCGTACAACAATATAAAATTATCCTCAGGCTATGTGTACACGGTATATATGAAACATGAATTTTATGTTTAGACTTCAATTGTATCCCAAGAAATCCTATTGTATATATGGAGATTCTCCTTCTGGTACTGAGCATTTCTGTTTAGGATAAACAACTTGTACCATGTGACTTTCCATAAACAGACATTTATTTAAATAAAACCTTAAAGTTTAATGTATATTTTCAAAAGGGCATAGATCAAATCCCTTTTGAAAAAAAAATTTTTTTTGGAGAGGTTTTTGCTATAGGGCGCATGCGCTCGCCAGAGAAACAGACAGAGAGATAGAAAGTGAAAACTCCCCCCCCAGGAGTGATGGCCATGCTGCAATCCCTTCTCCTCCATTCTCCTCTCAGGATCTTGGGCACACATGCACACGCACCCGGCGTGAGTTTAAGCCACCGGGTCCGGGACTCAAACCGCGGTCGACTATATGGGAGTTCAGCAACATAGCCATTACACTAACTGCTGGTCCCACTTTTGAAAAAATTTAAAAATGGATAGTTTTTCCATATAACTACTAATAACAAATTTTACTCCCCAGGTTATTTTATGGTTACTTCTTTTCTTTCTTTAAGAATTATTTATTTAATTTTATTTGTTCACTCATTCATTTTAATTTGACCAGAGAGAGACACAGAGAGGCGGCATGAAAGCAAGCCACCAGATTCAAGACTCTAACTGTGGTCAGTCATGTGGGAGTGTCCAGCACCTTAACCACCACACCACCTGCTGATCCCCTCCCGAGGTTATTTTCAAAACAAAATTTTCAGGACCAGCAGTTAGCGTAATGGCTATGTCGCTGGACTCCCACATAGTCAACCGCGGTTTGAGTCCCGTACCCGGTGGCTTAAACTCACGCCGGGTGCGTGTGCATGTGTGCCCAAGATCCTGAGAGGAGAATGGAGGAGAAGGGATTGTGGCATGGCCATCCCCCCTTGGGGGTGATTTCCTGCTTTCTGTCTCTCTTTCTGTCTGGCGAGCGCACGCGCCCTATAGCAAAAATCTCTCAAAAAAATTTTGTTTTCACAATATGCAGCTTCCTATCTAGGGTGTTTTTGGTCTAAAAGTTCTCATCTGCTGGAGCCAGCCAGTGGTGTGGTGATTGAGGACTGCTGAATTCTGCATGGCTGACTGTGGTTCAAGTCCTAGACTCATTGACTTGAAAAACACTCTGAGTGTCTGTATGCATATTCCTACAATCCCAAGAAGAGAATGGAAGAAAAAGCATTGGGGTGTGGCCATTCCCTCCAGGGAGTGCTTTCTCACTCTCTTCTTTCTCTTTCTGTCTGTGTTCACACATGACCCATAGTAAACTAAATAAATGAAAGAAAGAAAAAAGTTCTCATCAGCTTTGGCACTATTGAAATACTAACTAGTGGGGGACCAGCAGTTAGCATAATGGCTGTGCTGCTGGACTCCCATGTAGTCAACCACAGTTCATATCCCGGACCCGGTGGCTTAAAACTCACGCCGGGTGCGTGTGCTTGCGTGCCCAAGACCCCAAGAGGAGAACAGAGGAGAAGGGATTATGGCGTGGCCATCCCCCCTGGGGGGTGATTTCTTGCTTTCTGTCTCCCTGTCTCTGTCTGTCTCTCTGTCTGGCGAGTGCACGTGCCGTATAGCAAAAACCTCTCCCCCCCAGAAAAATAAATAAATAAATAAGTAAAAAGTAAAAAAGAAATACTAACTAGTGGAAGAATCAATACTACTGTTGGGTAAAGGGCTATTAAATCAATTGAATGGAGGAGAAAGGATTACAGTGTGGCCATCCTCCCTCAGGAGTGATTTTTTGCTTTCTGTCTCTCTGGCGAGCACATACAGCCAATAGCAAAAATCTCTCATTTTTTTTTAAAAAGAGGAGGTGATACCCATGTTAACTGAGAGATTTCTGATACTTACATCACTAGTTGCACTTTATCAGGTAGTAAACCAAATACTTCATATACTTCATCTTATTTCATCATCATTACCCTATTTAATATCCTTTACAAATAAGAAAGGTTTATGTGGCAGAGTACCAGATGAAAAAGAGGAAAGTATTGCCAAGTCTGAGCTCCCATGTTTGAATGATGCCTTCACTTCTTTTACTTTCTAAGCTTATTCTTCTGAGAAAAGCCAGGATCAGGTCAAGTGTAAACTCAGCAGAGGGCCCGTATGCATTCTCCAGAATCCATGAGCTTTAGCATTTATTCCTTCTGCACATACAGTGGGTAATTAAACAATTCCCCAATTTTGTGCTTTTTGGATCTCAATACCTTTCACAGAATGATACAAGGTTGATTATCCATTTATACCATTTATTGAGTAATATTTATTATAAACTCTTGAAAGTATGTTATTTTTGTTTAATTCACTTAGTATAAATATCTTTGCAGTTTGAGTTTTACTATTGAGAAGCAGTTGAGTTAGCGTAAGCATAATTTTTTTTTTTTTTTGAGAGGTTTTTGCCATAGGGCACGTGTGCATGCCAGAAAGACAGAGAGACAGAAGGCGAGAAATCACCCCCAGAGTGGATGGCCACGCCACAATTCCTTCTCCATTCTCCTCTCGGGATCTTGGGCACACACGCCCATGTACCCAGTGTGAGTTTAAGCCACCGGGTCCAGGACTCGAACTGCGATTGACTACATGGAATTACAGCGACATAGCCATTATGCCAACTGCTGGTCCCAAGTTAGCGTAATAGTTAAGAGCAAGTATTGTAGCTGTGATGTCTGGCTTCATATTCCCACTTTGCCTCTTTTTTTATTTATTTAATTTTTTAAATTTTTGCCAAAGAAGGTATGTGCTTACCAGAGAAAAACAGAGAGAGAGGGAATGTGTGTGTGCGTGTGTGTGTGTGTGAGAGAGAGACAGAGAGGGAGGGAGGGAGGGAAAGAAAGAGGGAGGGCAGGGAAAGCAAAAACCCCTCTCCCACAGAGTGTAGTCACACTGAAATCTCTTCTCCATTTCTCTCCCATTTTGGGCTTTGGGGCATGCACACCTGGCATGGTTTTTTGTTTTTGTTTTTTCCCCTTGAGCTAGGGAGGTTCGAACCACACAATAATGTAAGCTGGGGCCCAGGTTCCTCTAGGTGTGCAGTGTTTTACTTTCCTCAAACACACTGTGTAACTTTCAAGGTGTAATAGGTGATTTGCTTTTCATGTGTATGTGAATGCCCTTCCTGGTTTTGGTTAAATCATATTCCATAGTTTTCTGTTCAGGTGGGAGTGGAATCCTTGGAGCCTGGCATATAGTAAGAGCCATATACAAGTATGTGGTCCTGCGCCCTGTAATGACATTTCTGTGGACAGTAGACCTGCATATATGACAGTGGTCCCATATGATCATGTGATACACTAGGCTGTGTAGTAGGTTATCCCATCTAGGTTTGTGTAAGTACTACCTGTAATGTTCACACAATGGCAGATTGACAAATGACACATTTCTCAGAACAAATCCCTGTTAAGCAATGCATGACTATATAACCATACCATAAGAATATTTCCTATTAATAGAGAATAGAGTAACATCATATATTATTGTTACAGTACATATTAGTAATTATAGCCAGGTATCAGGTTGTGTTCATGCACTGAGTCTGCTGTAGAAATGTCTTTTTGGTAGGTATTAATAAGAACTGGGTAGTCAAAGTATAGTCAATACTTTTCAGTTATATTTATTTTAGAGAACAGAGTTTGATATTTGTCGCTTTCTCTGTTGTAATTATAGGTATCTAATGTGTAGCCATGCGGAAGACCTACGTGCAAAAGCAGAATGGGAAGGCAAAGGGACAGCGTCCCGATCCAAATTGTTGGACAAACTTCAGAGTAAGAGTCTTCATTTTTTTTTTTTTTATGTTTCTGTATTTTCTCTTAGATTAAAAATAGACAGTATGGATCAATTAGAAAGACTCGAGTGGTTGCAGAGGAGGAAGAGGTCCACTAAGAAGCCCTTTAAATGAAAAAAATTTAAAACTGTATGAAATCTAGGACCCTAACCTCAAGAGTCAGTGTGAATCCTGGTCTCAGAGCAGTTCTCCATTCATTTGAATTATATAATGATGTTCCTCCTAAGATTTTGTATGGAGAACCGGTGTGGTTAGAAGAAAAAAATATGTAAACCATAGCTTTAAGGAACAAGTGTTTTTTTTGTTTTGTTTTGTTTTTTGGAGAGATTTTTGCTATAGGGCGTGTGCACTCGCCAGGAAGACAGAGACAGACAGAGAGACAGAAAGCGAGAAATCACCCCCTGGGGGGATGGCCACGCCGCAATCCCTTCTCCTCCATTCTCCTCTCAGGATCTTGGGCACGCACACACACGCACCCAGCATGCGTTTAAGCCACCGGGTCTGGGACTTGAACCGCGGTTGACTACATGGGAGTCCAGCAACATAGCCATTATGTCAGCTCCTGGTCCCAAGGAACAAGTGTTTTTAAAACGTTGGTGATTTCGGTGATTAGGCTCAGATTTCTTTAGGTAAAGTGTTTTACTATCTCTTAAATATGTTACATAAACTTCTAACTTGTAGTAGGGGTTTCATTTTTGTGTTTATGTAAAAGATTCTCCCTCTGTTGTTAAGTCATTTTTGTAGTTCTTATGCTGAGGTGAGTGTGGAATCCTAAAAACTCAGAAAGCTGCAGTTGAGGTTTAAGGCACTGAAGACTTGCAATAGATTGGTATTATATCAAAACCCCAGTTACTCCCTGAATTTCCACAATGTCCTTAGCATTAGGAACAATTTCATGAGAATTGAAACTTGACCTGTCCCAGCATTTTTGCTTGCACTTTAAGTGGAGATTTTTCTTACAAGCAAGTCTCCCTTTGGTAGTTACCATTAGGTTTTCTTCTCAGCTCCCCCCCCCTTTTTATTTTTCCTTCAGTTGGTGGTGGTGTGGTTAAGGATTTTGGGAGTGTCATTTTTGTTTCTGTTTTTCTGGAAAATTCATGTGTGAAATAAAACACTCTACCCAGGTATATCCCATCCTAGTGGCAACATAACTATAACTGCTGACAGTGATTAATTTATCAATATCATATATTACATCACTCAGAACTTTTCTATTTAAGGGACATACCATTATTGGGGTAGGGATAAGTATAACAGAAGACGAGCAAAATGTGTTAAATAAAAGTTTATGGTGTATTACCATTTTTATTTCTCTTTTTTAAAATGTCTTCTATTAAAGCCTATTTACCACCATCAGTGATGCTTCCCCCACGGCGTTTACAGACTCTCCTGCGACAGGCGGTGGAACTACAAAGGGATCGGTGCCTATATCACAATACCAAACTCGATAATAATCTAGATTCTGTGTCTCTGCTTATAGATCATGTTTGTAGTAGGTAAGAGAAAAACATTTTACATTCTGAAGTGGGCTAACATTTAAGACTCAGTTATGAACTTTATTAAAATGATTTCTTTTTTTTTTTAAGAGTTTTATCCTGTAGCTGTATAAAATTGATGTTTGATTTAGCATTTATTCAAGTAAAGCGAAAACGACTAAAAGAAAGACAAAATTTGTATATGCCTGTATGGTAAACCATACCATGAGGACTGGAACTGGAAAGCCAATTTTTCCTTTTCTCATCTATAGGTTTATTTAGTCGTTTTGTGTGTCTGGTAATTTCACTACAGTCCATGTTACATTTTGCGCATAAAAATTGTGACTACTTTTTTCTTAATGCCAAGTTCTATTTTTTTAGCAGAAGACGGACTCTGAAAATGTTTAGAATAATGGTATTAACTTTTGGGTTGAGTTTGGTTATTATACCTATTTGTGTACATAAAATTTAACGTGTATGATTTTGGCTTCTCCTTTGATGTTAGGAATATTTTGAGTAAAAATGTCCCTACCATTTTAATAACAAGTCTCCAGAATTAAAACTAAGGTACTGAAAAATCAAATTGAAATCTTTTAAAAACACTAGGAGGAAATGATTCGAGTCTAATAAGATGAAAAAGAAGGACAAAAGATATAAGTGAAGCCTTAGAATAAACAAATTTCTGAATAACCATAAAAATGTATATATGCCACATCTATACTTGGATTTAAAATAATGTTTAGATGTGCATAAATCACTTTTGTATGCAGTTTATACCTCACAGTCCTCACTTGGAATGAAAAAATAATAATTGATTGAGCTCTTGGCCTTAAATTACCTAAAAGTATTATTTACTTAAAGTATTGGATTATTGTTTGATGTATATCTTAAATGTTCTGTAGGAACATGATTAAAGATTTTATCTTGTACCTTCCCCCACCCCCCCCTTTTTTTTTTTTTTTAAGATTTTTGCCATAGGGTGTTTGCATTTGCTGGAGGGAAACAGGGAGGGAGAAAGTGAGAAATCTCCCCCTACAAGGGTTGGCCACGCCACAATCTTTTCTTCTCCATTCTCATGGGATTTGGGGCATGCATGCACATGGGCCCAGCAAGCTATTGGGTCCAGGACTTGAACCATGGTTGACCTTGTGAAAGTCCAGCGCCTTAACCACTATGCCACCTGCTGGCCCTCCTTTTTATTCTTATACACTGTTCATTGACTTAACTTCTGAAGATGTTTAGATTAAGTAAAGGTAGAAGGTGACATTATAGTAGGCTGAAAGTCTTCATAGTTTCATACTTCATAGTTTCCTTGGGGCATTGAGAACAGTGTTATAATTAAGGTGGTTGAGAACCTAAATTCTTTGATTTGCTGGTTTGTTTTTTGTTTTTCTTTCTTTCAGTTTTTGCTGTAGGGCGTGGGCACACACCAGAGGGTGGGGGCAGTGAGATAGCAGCCCCCCAGGGAGGATGGCTGTACTGTGATCTCTTCTCCATTCTCCTCTTGGGATTTTGGGCACACATGCACACAGACCTGGTGTGAATTTCAAGCCACTGGATCCAAGACTTGAACTGTAATCAGCCATATGGGAGACCAGAGCCTTAACCACTATGCCACTTGCTGGCTCCAGCTTCTCCCCTTAACCTGTCTCTTGAATAAGTGTGTTCCAGAATTACTCTTTTTCCTTGATTTCTTTCTCTTCTTTAAATTCCATTGTTCTAATGACTCCTAAATGCTAGAACTGCAGAGTTTATGTCCTGAACCTTAGACCTTACTTTAACACATTTGATATTGCTCAAGTAACTTAAATACATTATGTCCAAAACAGAACTTCCTTTCCCTCTCATCTGTCCCTACAGGGTCTGCTTTTCCTCTTGATTTTCTTACCTCAGTGAAAGGCTACCATCTACTCAGTTTTCCCAAGCCAGAGAGTCAGTCTTGGATTTTTACTCTAGATTGTAAAGATACTAAGGGATAATGGCAGGCATTAGGTTAGTATTCACAGTCTCCAGAGTGGGTGTGCCCCCATTGCTAACGTGAGAAAACAGAACCTATATTTGACTTAATTTCTATAATCGTATTTACTTAGAGGTCTTCAAAAGAAAAGTTGATAGTTTTTTATTATCTGCTTTATTCCTTTTAGAAACTAAATTTTAGCACTGAAACAAAAAAGCTATTTTTAAAAATTAAATCTTTGCATTGAAATCTAGATGCCATCTTTTTTCTCTTCTGGAAAATAGAGAATTGATAATGACTAAGTGACTATAACCTGACCAACACTAAACAGTTTTCATTAGATTGTATATAATTTCTGTTTTTCAGTTAGTATACACATATTTTGGTTAAATTTGACCAATTACAGTGCTTGTTTTAAAAAATAATTTTGTGTGTATATTTCTTATGGCAACCAATGGAAGAATGTTTCTGTGGGTAGCTTTATGAGTACTAATGTTTTTAGTAAAGGATTCTTTTTTTGGGGGGGGGGGCGCAGGGAGAAGAAGTTTTTGCTTTAGGGCGCATGCACTTGCCAGACAGACAGAGACAGAGAGACAGAAAGTAAGAAATCACTCCCCAGGTGGGATGGCCATGCCGCAATCCCTTCTTCTCCATTCTCCTCTTGAGGTCTTGGGCACACACGTACATGTGCCCGGTGTGAGTTTTAAGCCACCGGGTCCGGGACACGAACCGTGGTCGAGTATGTGGGAGTCCAGCAACATAGCCATTATGCTAACTGCTGGACCCAGTAAAGGATTCTTATGAAATATTTATATAGAAACTTTTAATTCTAAGATTCAGTTTGGTTAAAAATGCTACATTTAACCCCTTGGGGACAGCAAGTGGCGTGGTAGTTAAGGTACTGGAATTTCATATGGTCAACTGTGGTTCAAGTCCCAGACCTGGTCGCTTGCTTTCTCACTTTCTTTCTCTCTCTCTTTGGTCAAATTAATAATAATAATATTATTATAAGTCCCAGACCCAGTGGCTTGCTTTCTCACTTTCTCTCTCTCCCTCTTTCTCTCTCTCACTCTGTCCCTCCCTGGGGAAGTTAAAATAGATAAATAACATTAAATAAAATAATTCTCTTTAAAAAATAAATAACACCTTAAAATTTGAGTTTATTTTAAAACAAAGATACATATAAACTATATATAAACTATTTATATGTGGTTTATATAAACCATATATAAACTATATGTATCTTTGTTTTAAAATTCATCCGGTATACATCTAAAAATAGACCTTTAATAAATAGGGGCATGTTGTACTAGTCTCCCCCCTCCATTTATTTATTATTTCTTTATGTATGTATTTTTTGTGATTTTTGAGCCACTGAGTCTGGAACTTGAACTGCAGTCAGATACGTGGTAGTATAGTGCCTCAACCACCATGCCACCTCCCAGCCCCCTTGTTTTAATCTTTTAAAATAAGAGTATTCAAATAGGGCTGGCCTAGTAGCCTACTAGTTAAGAGAGCTGGATCCCTCATGGCTAACTGCAGTTCAAATCCTGGCCCTGGCAACTTGAGAAACTTGGCTTTGTGCATGCCAAAAACCCCAGCAGAATGAAGAAAAGGAGAAGATAGAAGCATGACCACACCCCACTAGGGTGTTTTCTTCCTCTTTCTCCCTCCAGCAATTAAACAAAAAGATTATTCAAATAAAGATGAAAAATAATGACAATTTAAATACCATTTTAGTGATATCAAAAATAATTGATTGTTGGGGGCAAGCAGGTGACCTGGAAGTTAAGATGCTGTACGTCCATGTGGCCAACTGCAACTCCAGTCCCAGACTTAGTGGCTTGAAAATCACACCAAGCACGTGTATTTATATGCCCAAAATTCAGAGGAGACTGAAGGAGGAGGAATTAAAATGTGGTCATCCCCCAGGGGGAGTGATTTCTCACTTTCTCCCTCATTGTCTCTGGTGAGCACACACACCCTATGACAAAAAAAGATAAAAAGAATTATTAATACACTAGATTTCAAGTACCCTGTAATTTTGATGATAAATCGGTTTTTTGTTTGTTTGTTTTTTGGAGAGGATTTTGCTATAGGGCGTGTGCGTTTGCCAGAAAGACAGAGACAGTGAGACACAAAGCAAGAAATCACACACATACACCCCAAGGGCAGATGGCCATGCCACAGTTCCTTATCCACTCTCCTCTTGAGATCCTGGACAGGCACACAATGCACCCCGAGTTTAAGCCACCGGGTCTCGGACTTGAATCATGGTCAATTACATAGGAATTCAGCGACATAGCCATTATGCCATCTGCTGGCCCCTCAGTTCTTTCTTAAAAATGTTTTACTCCCCAATTTTAGATATATCCTTTTTACTCATGATCAGCTTTAACCATATGAATTGTTCATTTTATGCCTATATATATAGTGTTTCTCATTGACTAAATGGCATTGCTTCAGGTGAACATGGGAGAAAGAAAAAGCTTTCTGGTATTGAAAGTACCTATTTGATTGTAATTTTATCCAGCAGTGTCTTGAAAATTATTTTTAAAGTAACAGTTGGAATGAAAATTGGCCTTGGAATCAACCATAAGTTGAAACCCTAGTTTACGGGACCAGCACTTAGCATAACAGCTATGTCGCTGAATTCCCATGTAGTCAACTGTGGTTCGAGTCCCGGACCCGGTAGCTTAAACTCATGCCGGGCGTGTGTGCATGCATGCCCAAGATCCTGAGTAGAGAATGGAGTAGAAGGGATTGCGGCATGGCCATCCCCGCTGGGGGGTGATTTCTTACTTTCTGTTTCTCTGTCTGTCTCTGTCTTTCTGGGGAGCGCATGTACTCTATAGCAAAAACCTCTCCGAAAACAAAAAAATCCTAGTTTATCAGTTTTGTGACATCTGATAAGTTATTTGCCCTCTTGGAGTCTCATGAAAATAGTAATAACAGTACTTTCCTTACAAGGTCGTTTTAAGAAAGGGCGATACTATTTTTTTTTTAATTAATTTTTTAAGAGCTTTTTGCCTTAGGGCGTGTGCACTTGCTAGGGAGAAAGAGAAACAGAGACGGTGAGGGAGAGTGAGAAATCATCCCCCCAGTGGGGGAAGGCCACGCTTCAATCCCTTTTCCACCCAAGATCTTGGGTGGCACGCACATCCACATCCCCAGCATGACTTTGAAGCCATCAGGTCTAGAACTTAAACTGTCGTCAGCCATGTGAGAGTCCAGTGACGTAACCACTACGCCATCTGCAGTCCCCTTTATATTTTATTATTTTTAAATTTACTATAGGGCACATGCACTCACCAGAGAGAGACAAAGAGAGAAAGCAAGCACCCAGGTCCAGGACAGAACTGTAGTCGACCATGTGGGAATCTTAACCACCATGCTACCTGCTGATCCCAAAGAATGATATGATGCACAGTGCCTGGGCACCTAGTCAATGCTTAAAAAAATGTTAGTGTTGATTATGTTTTAGTTCAGATGGAGAATAAGAGTTCAATATTAAAGCAATGTATATATAGTTAAATAATTTGAAAGTTTAAAGTATGCTTCAGATAAGGACCAGCAGGTGGCATGGTGGTTAAAGTGCTGGACATTCCCACATGGCCAACCACGGTTTGAGTCCCAGACCTGGCAGCTTGCTTTCTCACTTTCTCTCTCGTCAAATTAAAATAAATGAATGAATAAGATTAATAATAATTTTTTAAAAGTATGCTTTAGATAGCCAAGTGCTAAGGTAGATGGACATATATGTCATAAGGATGTTAATTTTTTTTTTTTAACATTTTTAAAATGTTGCTATAGGGGCTGGCAGGTAGCATGGTGTTTAAGGGCACTGGACTCTCACATGGCCAGCTGGGGTTTGAGTCCCAGACCTGACTGTATGCCCCTACCACCCCCAACTCACTCTGTCCCTCTCTGGTTAAAACAAAATAACATTAGTAAATAAAGTTAAATAAAATGATTCTTTTAAAAACCTAAAATGTTGCTATAGAGCATGTGCACTCACTACAGGGAGAAAGCATCCCCCTGAATGGGAGAGAAAAGTACTCCCAACCCACCCAGGGGCGATGGCCCTTCACCATTCTCCTTTTGGGATTTCGAACATGCAGGTGCACACAGTCATTATGTCATTTCAAGCCACCAGGTCTGAGACTTAAACCACACAGTTGGCTATGTGCGATCCAACCTCCTTAACCACCATGCCACTAGCTAGCCTTTTAATATAGTTTTAAATGTAGGCTACCTACCTTCTCAGGTTGGTGAACTGACAAAAATATATATGTGTGTGTATGTGTGTGTACTCATTTTTAAATTATTATTATTTTATTTTGACCAGACAGCAGGAAAGTGAGAAAGCAAGCTGCAGAATCCAGGACTTGAACCATGGTAGACCGTGCGGGAGTCCAGCATCCCAACCACCATACCACCTGCTGGCCTCACGACAAGAATATATTTTTAAATTACTGATTGGTTGAGAGAAAAACAAAGACTTTTTTAAGATATGTAATTTATCTGGGACCAGCAGATGACGTAATGGTTACATCACTGGACTCCCATGTGATCAACCACGGTTTGCATTCCAGACTTGGAGGCTTAAAACTCATGCCAGGTGCGTGTGTGTGCATGCCCAAAATCCTGAGAGGAGAGTGGAGACTATGGCATGACCATCCCCCAGGGAGTGATTTCTTGCTGTTTCTCTCTGTGAGTACACGACCCCTATAGCAAAGATCTCATTCAAAACAAAAATAAAGGTGTAATTTATACATTAATGTTAATAACTTTATAAGGTACAGTTGTACTGTCCAGATAGTAGCCACTAACTACATCTGACCATTTAATTTTACAGTTTTTTAATTCTTCTTTTAGAGAATTTTGCTATGGAGCATGCACGCTCACCAGAGAGAGAGAGAGTGAAAAATCAACTCCCAGAGGGTGGACATACACAGACACATCTGGCATGAGTTTCAAGCTGCCAGATCCAGGATTTGAACCACAGTTGACCATGTGGGAGTAAAGCATCATAATCACTATGCCACCTGATGGCCCAACCATTTAATTTTAAATGTAAAGTAATTCAGATTAAGTCAGTCAGGTTCCTCAAGGTTACAAGCCACATTGCAAGTGTTCAGTACCTTTCAGTGTCAAGGACTACCATAATGGACAGTACGAGTTTATTGCATTTTAATTTTCACAAATCATTTTATCAGACAGTGCTGATGTAGAGATGGGAAAAGGGCAGGATGATTTTTAGAAGTGAATTGGTTACAGGGAATAGTCTTCTTACACTAACTTTTTCTTCTTTAACTTGGTAAAGTGAATCATAATCCCTAGAATTTTTTGCCCTTAATATGCAATAATAGCTGCCATTATGAGGTACTGGCTAAGTGTCATACTCATTCTAAATGTGTTACACTCATTATCTCATTCTCTTCATTTTCTGTAACACAGGCATCATTATCATTAATGGAAAAATTGAAATTTAATCAGATCAAGTAAGAATTATAACTAAGGAGTGGCTAAGCCACAATTTGAATTTAAGTCTATCAGACCCTATCACCCCCATTTTTTTAAATTCTTTACTCTTCTAATTTTTAAAGAATTATTTATTTCATTTTATCAAATTTTGAATAGGGCACATGCACTCACTAGAGAGAGAGAAAGCAAGCTTTCAGATCCAAGACTCGAACCATGATTGACTATGTGGGAGTCCAATGCCTTTACCACTATGCCACCTGCTGATCCCCAGGCTTTACTCTTTTTTTTTTTTTTTTTTTTTTTTTGAGAGAGGTTTTTGCTATTGGGCACGTGCGCTCACCAGAAAGTAGGAAATCACCCCCAAGTGGGGGAGGGGTGGCCACGCTGCAATCCCTTCTCCTCTTGGAATCTTGGGCACACACGCACATGCACCCAGCGTGAGTTTAAGCCACTGGGTCCTGGACTCGAACCGTAGTCAGCTACATGGGATTCCAGTGACATAGCCACTACGCCAACTGCTGGTCCTAAGGCTTTACTCTTAACTGTAGCAGCTCCTGTCATTTAATTGTACTCCTCCCAAATAGTATTAGTAATTACATTTGATTATCTATCATACTCTAGGATGTTTAGGTGTATTTCTAATTCTTTTGGGGGGGTGGTGATTTTTGCTGTAGGGTGCATGTGCTCGCCAGAGAGACAGAGAGAGAAAATCGAGAAATCACACTCCAAGGGGAATAACTACATTGCAATCCCTTCTCCTAATTTCTCCTCTTGGGATCTTGGGCTTGCACGCACATTCGCCCAGCATGAGTTCAAGCCACCGGGTCTGGGACTCGAACCGGAGTCGACTACGTGGGAGTCCAGCGACATAGCCATAACACCATCTGCTGGTCCCCCAGTCATGTTTCTAATTCTTGCAAGAATCCTGAAAACCTTTTTAGGTAGATACTAGTCTTTATGGATGAGGAAACTGAGACTCAGAGGAATTAAATGATTTGCCAAAGACATCAAAACTTGCGACTGAGAAGGAGCCCAAACTTGAGGTCCAACTGCAATGCCTACTTTGTTTTTGTTATACCAAGTTGCGCTTGTTTTGTTTTGTTTTGGCCAGAGGATATATGTGCCCACAAGGAAGAGAGGGATACATATACACACTCAGCATGTTTTTCAAGCCACCAGGGCCAGAATTTGAACTATGGCTAAACAGGGCTTAACCATTGCACTATGGGGCCAGCCCACCTAATTACTTTTCTAATAAAGAAAAATTTAAGTGAACTTTATTTAAAGGAAGATGTTATGTTATTCATCCAAGAACAACCAACTGATATCATCCAACTTATACAGATAAAGATGAGGCCCTGATTAATTATTTATATAACTTAAATCAGACCCAATTTTTTTTTTTAAGGATCATTTTATTTAACTTTATTTTTAAAATTTATTTTAATTTGACCAGAGAGGGACAGGGGAGGAGGAATAAGAAGCAATCCGCCAGATCCGGAATTCGAACTGGGGTTGACCATGTGGGAGTCCAGAACCCTTAACCACCACACCACCTGCCAGCCCCTCCAATAATCTTCAGAAGGGGATAAAAGTAAATTATAAGCCGAACTAGGTTTTTAGATTACTGACTTCCTCTAAGGTTGCCTTGACTAAAAAAATATCTAATATTATGTAATACTTTCTTTTTCAACATACTGTATAAACTTGATTCTTAATGTTTACATGTACATTCATGTCTTATCTTTAAATTTTGTGGTGTGTGCTACAAAATTTTATCAGTTTTTTAACCTTGTTCATCATTATTATACTAATCTCTTTTGAAAGAATAATTATTTGTGGACTTCTTTGTTTTAGGAGGCAGTTTCCATGTTATACTCAGCAAATACTTACAGAGCATTGTAATGAAGTGTGGTTCTGTAAATTCTCTAATGATGGCACTAAGCTAGCAACAGGATCAAAGGATACAACAGTTATCATATGGCAAGTTGATCCGGTATGTATGAGTGTTTAGATTCCAAAAGAGGGTAGTTTCGAATCTAATTCATTAGCCGAGTATCTTAAAAGTACGTATATAAGTAGTATTTTTGTCATCTTTGTGACTTTTTACCTCTTCCTGTATTATAGATGATAGATGCATTGATAAGTTAATCAAAATTTTTGTGAGTTTATTATGTACTAGCGATTGTGCTATATCTGTGTATTTAATATTCTGACTGATGCTGCAAGGGGACTTCAAAAAGTTTGTAGAAAAATGTAATTAAAATACAGTTGTATGAGTCAACCTGGTAACTTCATGGTTAAAGAATGTGTATTCCATATAGCCCACTGCATTCCAGTTCGAATCTCAGCCCCACTGGCTTGAAAAACAGACCCCAGGCATGTATAGACGCTTAGTAAAAATCCTAACAGGATGGAGAAATGGAGAAGGAATTATGGTGTGATCATCCCTTCTTGGAGGGTGCTTTCTCCCTTTTTCTGGCAAGTGCTTGTGCCCTCTGGCAATTAAAAGAACATGAATTTATTTTGGTGCAAAAATATTTTTAAATCTATGCAGAGTTTTTTTCATAATACTTAATTTCCCATAAACTTTTTGAAAACCCCTTATAACATCTCCTGTTTTCACATGAGGAAACAGAGATAAGTTAAATACTCTATGCTCTCATAGCTAGTAAATGGTAAAGTTTGATGCAAATACAGGAATATTTTTTACTCCAAACCCATTGCTATTACTTTCTCATCAGTTTATGTCATTAATACTTGATTTACAGATTGTCTATTCCTTCGCAAGTTAAGAGATTTGTTACTTTCTGCTTTCTGAAACCTCTTGCTTTTTTCATTATCTTGTGTAATTTGTGGATATTGTTGTGTAAGCCCTTACCTTTCCTTTTTCTCCAGTAATACATATGAAAAGTATTGCATTCTGGATTTAAAATTCCAAGTTCTCTCTAAGATGAGATATGTCATTGTATATAACCAGATGACCTATAGATCTATAGAAATAAGTATTTTCATTTCTTTCAGCCAATTGAATATTTATTGAGCAATCAAAGAAGTACATGACTCCAAATAGGTTAAGGAGCTATATTTGGTTCAGGAGTCATTCACCTAAAATCATGAAGTAAATAAACTGAAAATATATTAGCCCAGGATAAAGTTTTGGGCTCCCATATTGAAAAAAATAGAGAAAAGGAACCATAGAAGGAAATAATTTTAAAAGGAAGAGAATCAAATTTGAGAGCATACAGCAATTCTTGCATACCTGCTATGCTATGAACAATGAAAGGTAAATAAGATACATTCTTTACTGTAAAGCAGAGATCTTTACCTTTTTGTTGTACCATGTACCTCTGTGGCAGTCTAGCAAATCTACGGACCTTTTCTCAGAATAATATTTGTAGTGCATAAACCAAAACACATACCAAGCCTAAACATATATAATATATTAATTCCTAAGAAAACTCAATCGTGTTGAAAGATAGTTACCGCTATAGTACAAACAGACAATATATTGCTGCTTTGTTAACACATTAATTAGTAACTTTTAGCTGATCTAACAGATCTAACAACCATCAGAATTTTTTTTTGGAAAGCATAAATAATAATATAACTGCAACAACGGTAATAGGAAAATATTTGAGATATTAACAGTGTCACTTAATACTATCTAATTTATTGTACTACTTTACTACCTAACACTATCTAATATTGTGTACTAATATACCTAATACTACTTTGTTAATTGCGGTCAAGATTGAAGAAAAATAACAAATTTCAGACTGTGGTTAATGAAAATAGAGATGTACCTTTTTCCCATTGATATTCAAGGACCCTGATTTTATTACAAGACCCTTTCTTATATAGAGCTCAGGTAAAGAACCACTGTAAAGAATGTAGAGTTTAGAAAGGGAAATAAAATACAGTAAAATAAGTACCATGAATATATTTAATGTATTATGACGATGTGCTTTACAGGAGACACATGATGAATAATGGCAGAATACAAAACAAGAATAGAAAAGAGTTTGGGATCAAATTATGACCTTTGAATAATACTATTTTAAGGAAATCTGTTTTCATTCAGCAGTCATTTGTAAGGTATCTGAAATGGAAAGCAGCAATATCAGAACTGTGCTGTGAGTTTTTTTCTAGCAGCAGTGTGGAAGAGTCCCCTCTCATTCAGTCATTAGTTTTTCCAAGTGTCTGCTGTGTGCCAGACTGCTTGCTGCAGACAGAGTGAGCATATGTTAATACATTGTAACGGTTCTCAAACAAGTGCTGCAGAAGCTCATGGAAGAGATCTTACTGTAACTAGAAAGCTAAGAAAAGTAAGAAAGTCTTAAGATGACAGAACAGAAAAATATTATTTAGGCAAAACTAGTTAGAAGTGGCCCTTGAGTAGAAGAAAACATAGATTAACATTTGGTAGTATTGGGGGAAGAATTTTTGGGAACCAGGAGAATGAGGTTAATGATGTGTAAGTAGCAACCAGATTGCTAGGAGAGCTTTTGTATATCTTGCTACAAGGTTTAGACTTTTTTTTAAGAGAGAGAACTTTTTGCTATAGGGCACATGTACTCACCAGAGAGATAGAAAGTGAGAAATCACCCCCGAGGGGGATGGCCACGCCATAATTTCTTCTCCTTATTCTCCTCTCAGGATCTTGGGCATGCATGCATCTGGCATGAGGTTTAAGCCACCTGTGTACAGTACTCGAACTGCAGTTGACGATATGGGAATCCAGTGACATAACCATTATGCCATCTGCTGGTTCCTGAAGTTTAGACTTTTTATGCCACTGTTTCTTCCTAGAGTGCATTTTTCAGAATCCTGAGTATGCAGAAAGCAATAAGTGTTACATAAAGGCTTATGTAGCCAGATTAGATTGAGAACTGTAGAATTGAATGTTTGCATTCTAATCTGAACTATAAAGGAATTTGGAGACCACAATTTATAGGTAATTGGATCACTATATACAGTAAATCCTCTGCGACTGTTGAACTCTTAGTATGCTATTATTTTTGTTATGTCACATTATGTGTATGTATATATTTAATAGGAAAAAAGTACATAGTATACCTTAAGATTTGTGTTGATATGATCCCAATGCCTTGTTTACTACGAGTTTTTACCTTTGCCTACAAAATCAAATTTTACTCATTCCCCTCAAAAAGCCAAGCAGAGTCGTATGAACTCTCTGAAGATGGTATTTCCAATTTAAATAAACTAGTATGAAGGTACTGTACTTGTAGTATTAATATCCTTGAAGTTGTTTTCAACTTTATATGTTATAGGATTATATTATTTTCACTAAAGTGTATAAAACAGTTTTGATTGTTTTCAAATTGCCAGAGGGCATGTGCGCTCCTGGCAGAGTGACAGAGCCAGAGCAAGCAAGCACTCCCCACAGGGCATAGTCACACTGCAATCCTTTTCTGTTTCTCCCTCCTTTTAGGATTTTGGGCATGCATACACATAGACCCAGTATGTTTTTCAAGCTCTCAGGTCCAGGATTTGAACCATGTAGTCAGTCATATGGAGCTAACTCCCTTAACCCTTCAGGCCATGGACAATTAGTTTGTTTTTTTTTAAAAGAATTTTATGTACTTTTATTTGTTTGTTTTTAATTTTGACCAGAGAGGGACAGAGTGAAAGAGAGAGAGAGAAAGTGAGAAAGCAAGCTACCAGGCCCAGGACTTGAACCACAGTCAGCCATGTAGGAGTCCAGCATCCTCAACCACCATGCCACCTGCTGGCCCTAATAATTAGTTTTTCGATTAAATATTTCTAAAGTTTGTCATCAGTTTAAAAACAAATCATTATATATTGATTTGGAGCACTACCATGAATGAAAGTTTATTCCTGGAAGATCTTGAGTTAGTCAGAAACTTTGACTTGCTTTGTGAATTATGCAATTCACTTTGACCTGATGATACTCCTGATCTAATACAAATACCTTATGCCTGTTGCCCACTTCCCAAGGAGGAGTCAGAAGTAGTTACATTGTTAACTCATTTTGTGAAAATAATAGACAGTTTGGACTAGAAAATTATGTGAATGATAAAGTTAGGATCTAGTGAAGAAACAAAATACAGCAAACACAAGCCATTTCTCAGTGACTATTCTGAAAACAACAAAAACAAAAATTCCTAACCTAATTTATTATCATTATTATTCATTCATTTATTTTATTTTGGCCAGAGAGAGACACACAGAGAGAGAGAGGAAAAAAGTGAGAAAGCAAGCCACCAGGTCCAGAACTCAAACCATGGTCGGCCATGTGGGAGTGTCCAGTGCTGAACCTCCATGCCACCCGCTGGTCCCACCCAACCTAATTTTATTAGTTAGTTCCATACCCATTTCTAATTGCTTGTAAGGCATCACCATTGCAATTTCCCTTAGACTCAACAGTAAGTCTTCAGAGTTTATTTATCCCCCCCCCCCCGCCATGCTGCAGTCCCTTCTCATCCATTCTCCTCTTGGGATTTTGGGCATGCACACCCACATAACTTGGTGTCAGCCACCAGGTCCGGGACTTGAGGTGTGATTGACTATGTGGGAATCCAGCAATGTAATCATGAAGTTATCTGCTGGTCCTAGTCTTTAGACCTTAATAGCTGTTTCTTCTTACCTCTAGCCAATTTCTTCTTTTCCTTGTCCATATTCATTTTTACCTCCAAAGTATCTTTTGATGCAGCTTCTTTCCATCCTGGCCATCTCAATAAGAGGCCTCACTTTTTGGGAACTATGACAGTTAATTATGGCTATTGTATTCGTTTATTAAAGATTTCCTTATCCTGGGAACCAGCAGTTAGTGTAATGGCTATGTCGCTGGACTCCCACGTAGTCGACCGCGGTTCGCGTCCCAGACCTGGTGGCTTAAAACTCACGCCGGGCGCGTGTGCGTGCGTGCCCAAGATCCCGAGAGGAGAATGGAGGAGAAGGGATTGCAGCGTGACCATCCCCCCGGGTGGTGATTTCTCGCTTTCTTTCTCTATGTCTCTCTCTGTCTGTCTGGCGAGCGCACGTGCCCTATAGCAAAAACCTCTCCAAAAAAAAAAAAAGAGATTTCCTTATCCTGTGTTTCACCTTCAGAGATTCATCTTTCACTTCACTGAGTTCTCAAACATGAAAGGACTACTGAAAGTTTGTGGAAAATGAAATTAAAGTATGAATTTATTTTGGTATGAAAACTTGGGGGGGCTGGTAGGTGGCATGGTAGTTAGAGGTGCTGGTCTCTCGTATGGCTGACAATGGTTTGAGTCCCAGACCTGGTGGCTTGCTTTCTCACTTTCTCTGGCCCTCTCTAGTCAAATTAAAAAATAAATAAAAAATAAGTGAAGTTAAATAAAATAATTCTTAAAAAAAATATTTTTTTGAAATCCATGCACACTTTTTTCATAGTACACATTTTCCATCAACTTTTTTTAAGATTTCCCCTCATGTATCACCTAGCTTACCATTTTTAAGTGGCTATTCACCCTCTGGATAAAAATTTTAACCCCTCAGCCTAAAATAAATATGTCAACTCTTCTGCCTTGCCACTTGCCACTTTTATACTTGCAGTATACAGTAACCTGTGTAGCATAAAGAATGGGCTATGGAGTCAAGCAGCCCAGGCACAAATCCTCACTCTGTAAGTAGTATCCTGACGAGTTTCAGAATAGTTACTGCTTTAGAAGCAAGTTCCTAAGCTTTCCAAACCACCCTTTCCTTCTAGAGTAATACCTACCAACTAGATTTGTGGGAATTAAGTGTGATATTGTTTATAAATAATACTTACATTCACTAGCACGAATCAGTGTTAGCCTTGCTGGTGGGATTGTAAAATGGTGTCACCATTCAGAAAGCAGTTTGACAGTTTCTCAAAATGTCTTGGGTTTTGTTTGTTTTTGCTAGAAATTTATAGGAAATGTCTAAAACAAAATAGTGGTTAACCAGGATTGCAGGGAGAGACAAGCCACTAGTTACTGTATATGGGTTTTTTTGTTTGTTTGTTTGTTTGTTTGTTTTTTAGGTTTTTGGGGGGAGGTTTGTAATTTTTAGTTTGCTCTAGGGTACGTGCTCTTGCTGCAGGTTTGAAAAATCAGTCTCCTGAGCAGAGTTGGCCATACTTCAGTCCCTTCTCTATTCTCTTCTCATGATTTTGGGGACACCTATACTAGCAAGTGTTCTAAGTCATGGGTTCCAGGACATTGACTGTGCAGTCAGTCATGTGGGATCCAGCTGCCCTAACCACACCACCAGCTGGTCCATGATTATATGTTTTTTTGGGGGGATGATGAAGATCCTCTAAAATCAGATAGTGGTAATGATTGCACACCTCTGTGAATATGCTAAAGCTACTGAATTGTAGACTTTTTAAAAGGATGCATTTTATGGTAAGTTATTTCTCAATAAAGCTCTAAAAAATAAATAAGGGCCTTGCCTCATTTGTGTGTGCTGATGGAACTTGGTGTTTCACACGCTATGACCGTGTGGGAGGCTCAGGTTCCATTTCTGGTTCACCCTAAAGGCCAGGCATAGTGTCACATTGTCATAATCCCAGCTACTTGGGATGCTAAGGCACAAGGATCGAGGGTTTGAGGCTGGCCTGGGCATCATAGTGAAACCCCATCTGAAAAAGAGCCAGGCTGGTGGCTCAAGCCTATAGTGCGAATGGTGAGGCTGAGGCAGGATTACGACAAATGAGAGCTTGTCTTTAAAAATATAGAACAAAACAGGTAACTCCTACTGTACACCACATATAAAACAAAACAGGTAACTCTTATTGTACACCACGTGTATTCAGTTCCCTTGAAAACTTCCTAAAGGCAGATTCTGTGTCACCTGTATATTTCCGTCTAGCTCAAATGCCTAGAGTGTAGTAGCTGCTTAATAGCTGGTGGCAGTGTGATGAGGCTTTATAAAGCAAGCTGTAAGACCTTCAATTGAGGGAGAAATGGTATGAAAACGTCCTCAGGTTAAATTATATTATCAAAGTACATCTTTTCAGCTATTTAAGTTCTTGTGTCAGAGCTTAAAGAACAAAGACTTTGAGGGGGGAGAGTTAACTTCATTATTTGTTTTCCTTCCTAGGATACACACCTGCTAAAACTGCTTAAAACATTAGAAGGACACGCTTATGGTGTTTCTTATATTGCATGGAGTCCAGATGACAACTATCTTGTTGCTTGTGGCCCAGATGACTGTTCTGAGCTCTGGCTTTGGAATGTACAAGTGAGCAGATTCCATCCTTGGTTTACTTATTATTAAGTACAACATGGTCATAATGCACATATGTGTTATTATAACTTTATTCTTATAGAATAGAGCCACTTAACCTATTGGGTTGTTGGAAAAGTCATGGCGTATTTTTCTTTTTCTTTCTTTCTTTCTTTCTTTCTTTCTTTCTAGAGAGTTTTTTGCTATATTGAGAGAGTTTTTTGCTATAGGGCGCGTGCGCTCACCAGACAGAAAGCGAGAAATCACCCCCCAGGGGGGATGGCCACGCTGCAGTCCCTTCTCCTCCATTCTCCTCTCGGGATCTTGGGCATGCACGCACATGCGCCCAACGTTAGTTTTAAGCCATCGGGTCCGGGACGCAAACTGCGGTCGACTACATGGGAGTCCAGCGACAGCCATTACGCTAACTGCTGGTCCCATGGCGTATTTTTCTATGTAAAATGCTTCTTGACTTTTTCCACAACCCAATAAATAACTATAGTATATCTTAAAACAGACAGTTGTTCATGTGGGATCCAAATGTCTATAAATTTCAATATGCTTAATAATAGAGTTTGTGAAAGAATGATGGATAAGCATTTCCAGGTTATGCCTTGTCCTATGTAATTTACTCGATTTACTGTGGTGCTTTAGAAAATGATTTATAGTTGTTTCATAGTTTCACAACAGTACACAAAGAAGTACCTTTCAAATGTTAAATATCAGCAGTAAACCAGATTTTCCATTCTAATGTCTATCTCATTACCCATATTTACTGTTCTGGGCTAATTTAGTGAAGCTAAATGATGTTTTCAGTACTTATTAAAAGCTTTATTGTTTCTAAGTGAAAACTTGAACTTTAGAGTCCCATTAAAAAAAAAAAAAACAGGGAACCAGCAGTTAGCGTAATGGCTATGTCGATGGACTCCCACGTAGTTGACCGCGGTTCGCGTCTCGGACCCGGTGGCTTAAATCTCACGCCGGGCGCGTGTGCGTGCGTGCCCAAGATCCCGAGAGGAGAATGGAGGAGAAGGGATTGCGGCGTGACCATCCCCCCTGGGGGGTGATTTCTCGCTTTCTGTCTCTATGTCTCTGTCTGGCTGGCGAGCGCACGCGCCCTATAGCGAAAACCTCTCCAAAAACAAACAAACAAACAAACAAACCTCAACATGAGGTATACGCCATTATTTATAGACAGTATTTTTGAAATCTTCCAGTTAAAATGTTTTTGAGGATTTTTTTTGAGGGGTAGAGGTTTTTGCCTTAGGGCATGTGCGCTCACTGGGGAGAGCGACAGTGAGAGGGAAAGTGAGAAATCACCTCCTCGGATCTTGGACACACACACACAAATGTGCCCAGCATGGTTTAAGCCACAGGTCTGGGACTCAGACTGCAGTTGGTCATGTGGGTGTCCAGCGACATGACCACTATGCCATCTGCGGGCCCCCAAAATTTTTTAAAACTTCCTTATATCGGGACCAGCAATTAGTGTAATGGCTATGTCGCTGGGCTCCCATGTAGTTGACCGCGGTTTGGGTCCCGGACCTGGTGGCTAACACTCAAACTGGGTGCGTGTGCATGCATACCCAGGATCCCTAGAGGAGTATGGAGGAGAAGGGATTGTGGCATGGTCATCCCCACAGGGGGTGATTTCTCACTTTCTGTCTCTGTTTCTCTCTCTGTCTTTCTGGCGAGCACATGTGCCCTATAGCAAAAACCTCTCAAAAAAAAAAAAAGAAAGAAAACTTCATTATATGAGATTTCAGAAAGTTCATGGAAAAATAGAACTGAAATTAGGACCAGCAGATGGCATAATGATTATGTCGCTGGACTCCCATATAGTTGACTGATTGCAGTCCCAGAACAAGCAGCAAAAAAACTCAGGCCAGCGCATGTAGGAGTGTGCTCAAAATCCCAGGAAGAAAAGGGATTGCGGTGTGGTTATCTGCCCAGGTGATGGTGGTTGGGGGGGGGAGTTGATTTCTCATTTTCTGTCTTGCTTGTCTCTTTCTCTCTCCAACGAGCATACATGCCCTTTATCAAAAATCTCTCAGAAGGAACCAAAGTACAAATTTATTTTCATGCAAATAAATAAATTTTGAAACCCGTGCATCATTTTTTCATAATACATATTTTTCATAAACTTATTGAAGGTCCTTCCCACCCGCATATAATTTGACTTAAGTTTAGGTGATAATTTTTATTCTTTTTAACCCAAAGGAATGGTCCAAGTCATGGTTTGGATATAAAAGTATAACTTGATGGAATAGGATTTTGAGTCTGGGACTTAAGAGAATGAAAATAAAGGTCCACTGACATAACTTCTAATAATAAAGATGGTATAGAGGACAGAATGGGTACTAAGATGTACTTGAAAATGATATGAAATAATTCTAATAAGGTTAGAACCCTGATCTGAAAAGCCGAAAGTCCAAGACTTTTTGAGTACCAAAATGATGCCAGAGGTGTAAAATTGGACACCTAACCTCACAGGATCAGTTGTAGTCAAAATGCTGCTATTCAGAAATACTGTACAAAATTACTTTCAGGCTATGTGTATAAGGTATATGTGAATCATGAATGAATTTTATATGCAGACTTGAGTCCCATCCCCAAGATACCTCATATGTATATGAAAGTATTCTGAAATCTCAGGAACCAGCAGTTAGTGTAATGGCTATGTCGCTGGACTCCCAGGTAGTCGACCGCAGTTCACGTCCTGGACCTGGTGGCTTAAAACTCACGCCGGGCACGTGTGCATGCGTGCCCAAGATCCCGAGAGGAGAATTGAGGAGAAGGGATTGTAGTGTGACCATCCCCCCTGGGGGGTGATTTCTCACTTTCTGTCTCTATGTCTCTGTCTGTCTGGTGAGCACACGCGCCCTTTAATGAAAATCTCTCCAAAAAAAAAAGGTATTCTGAAATCTGAAACACTTCTGGTCCCAAGCATTTCTGCTAAGGGATATCAGTCTGTAGTAAGATTTCTCCACTACTTAGTTATTTCCTGTGTGTTTTGTTTATTTCTTCATTTATAAGCCAGGGTTGTGAGCATGAGACAGGAGAGGGAGAGAGTACCCTTTGGTGGGGTGTAGTAATGCCACAATCCCTTCTTCTCTGTTTCTCCATTCTGTTGGGATTTTGAGTGTGCACAGACATGCACCCAGAATGTTTTTCAAGCTGCTGAGGCCAGGATTCAAACCACATCTTTAGCCATGTAGGACCCTGCTTCTTTAATCACCAGGCCATGGAATGAACCCATTTCCTTAATCTTTCTTTTTTTAAAAAAAAAAAAGAATTCTTTTATTTAACTTTATTGCTATGATTATTATTTTCTAGTTTGATAAGGATGGTAGAGTGAGAAAGTAAGCCCCCAGGTCCAGGACCCAAACCACAGTTGGCCATGTGGGAGTCCAGCACCTTTAACCACCACGCCACCTGCCAGCCCGTATTTCCTTATATTTCACAACCAGCTTTTAATTAAGAAAATTTATTTTCATTATTTTATTTAACTTTTTATTTGTTTGCTTATTTGTTTAAATTTGACTAGAGAGGGATAGAGTGGTAGAGAGAGGGAAAGAAAGTGAGAAAGCAAGCTACCAGGTCTGGGACTCGAACCATGTTTGGCCATTTGGGAGTCCAGCACCCTTGATACCACACCACCTGCCAACCCCCAGGAAAAAAAAAAATTTAAGAATTTTTTTTTTATTGGTTTGTTTTAACTTTTTATTCATTTTAATTTTTAATTTGACCAGAGAGAGACAGAGAGAAAGAGAGAGAAAAAGAAAACAAGCCGCCAGGTCTGGAACTCAAACCATTGTCAACCATGTGGTAGTCCAGAGCCCTTAACCACCATGCCACCTTCCGGGTTCCAAATTTTTCAGATATTAAGAAAACATAAGAGACCAGCAGATGGTGTAATGGTTAGTTGCTGAACTCACACACAGTCAACCACAGTGTGAGTCCTGGACCTATCGATTAAAACTCAAAACTGAGTATGTGTGCATGCGTGCCTAAAATCACAAGAGGAGAATGAGAAGAGATTACGGCGTGGCCATCCCCCCTGGAGGGGGTGATTTCTCACTTTCTCTCTCTCTCTCTATCTATCTTTGTCGCTTATGGCCTGGCCATCCCCCCTGGAGGGGGTAATTTCTCACTTTCTATATATATATATATATATATATCTTTGTCTCTCCAGCCAGTGTATGCACCCTATACCAAAAACAAAAACTCTGAAGGGAAAAAAATGGTACAGTGATGACTTGTATGTCCACTATCTTAGAATTGACAGTTGTTACTAGCATTTTGTGATACTTCGTAAGCACATAAATGCATAGGTACATTCAAATATGTATACATACATACATACATACATACATACTCCTAAACATTTGATCTTTAGTTTACAGATATTTTTCCCTAAATAAGCACATAGCTCCTAAAAGACAATGTTGTCCTGTATAAGCAACCACTATAATATCTAAAAACATTAATTACAGTTCTCTAATAACTAGTATTCATTTCATACAAAAAAATCTCCTATTGTTCCCAAAAAGTCTTCTATGCCATTTTTTTTAATCTTTTTTCTTATAATTATTTTTATTATTTAACTTTATTTATTTATTGGCTTATTTAGAGTGACACAGAGAGAGAGATAAAGAGAGGGAAAGTGAGAGAGCAGGCCGCCAGGTCCAGGACTCAAACCGCAGTCGGCCATGTGGGAGTCCAGCCCCTGAACCACCACACCACCTGCAGGCCTCTTCTATGCCACTTTTAAACAGTGCCATGTTTACATTTGAGTTTGCAAAACAGAATAGTTGACTTTTAATAAAACAGTGCTTTTGAAGTATGTCTTCATACATAAAAGATGAAAGAAAATATTTTCCCTTAGAATTTACCCCCTCTTCAAAAGAAATATGTAGTCCTAGTCCTATAATAGGATTTTACTTTATATGGTCTGTATAGTTTCCTTGAGTCAGTTTTGAATTTTTGGACAGTTACACTGTATTTTAGTACTAGTGTTTTATTTTTTCTTTTTAAGAGAGTTTTGTATTTTTTTTTGTTTTTTTTTTGGTTTTTTTTGTTTTTTTGCTATAGGACATGTGTACTCACCAGAGAGACAGAGAGACAAAGGAAGAAATCACCCTCTCTGAGATGGCCATTCCACAGTCCCTTCTCCATTCTCCTCTCGGGATCTTGGGCATGCATGCACACTTGTCCGTAGTGAGTTTCAGGCCACCAGGTCCGGGACTCAAACCTTGGTTGACTACGTGGGTGTCCAGAGATGTAAATATTACGCCATCTGCTGGTCCCATAGCACTACTGTTTTACCATGTAGTTCTTTGACTTGTTCTAAAAAGATGATCTTTAAATCAGCTTTCAAATTATTTCTTTGTGTTTTTGCTAGGCTTCTAATCTAATAATCTCATATACTATACTCAAGATCCTGAGCATAACAGAAGAAAAGACTGCTTTGGCCTTCAGAAATTAGTGTGAACATATTTTTGAAAAGAAAATGCCAACGATTTAGCTGTTGCATGTGTACTTGTGCTTCTAAACTTTCTAAGCATTAATTTTGAACAACCCAAAAACAGTTTGGGGGAAGGATTTAGACCTTTAAACACTTTTTTCAGTGTAAGGAGGACATCTGCTTTTGTGCCCTCTGCTTTTATTGCTTGGCCTCATTTCCTAACCGTACCTTTTGCTTTCATTCTTTTATTTTTACTTTTGATTACCCATTTCTCACAGGAAAATTATGCCCACATACTTTTTATTATACCAAGGGCAGCTCTTCTCTCTCAGATTCTGTTTCTAATCCATGAGTCCATGAAAATGGAATTAACATTAGATTAAATATGTGTGTACCTCCTACATTGAAGAATTTAGAAAATGTTAACAGGAAGATGACTGAGGGTTGTTACTAATAAATATTCTTGATTAGTAGGAAGTAGCTTTGCTAAGTGATACTAAGGTTTTTTTTTCCTGTTACTTTCAATTGAAATAAGGTCGCTAATCAGAAAAATAATTTTTCATTTCTGTTCCTATCTTTCCTCCCATACTGTATTTGAATAGACTACCCTTGGCCTAGTTTAAGGACATAGTTTTTCCTGAGGAGTTGCTAATTATATTAACTAGTTTTAGGATAATATTTATAAAGAACTTTGGACTGAGAAGTGGAAACTCAGAAGGAATAGGTATGTAGCCTTGGGCTTTTCATTCTTGCTTGGGAAAATTACATGCTAGTTTTAGGGTATGTATGTAATTGATTTAAGGTGAGCAGTTATTGAAGTTTATCATATCATAACTACTCTTTGGGACACTTATGCCAGTTCTATTTCTGGAGTTCTCTTCAAGTCCTTAATTACCCTTCTGAGGCCTGTCGACTTTTTTTGTAAGGCCAGTGAAAACCATTTTTTTCTCTGATTAGGAATACCAGACTAACCAGATATCCCAGTTACTATTCTTTCTTGTTTTTTTTTTAAGCATATGTATTTTATTTTTTGTGTATTCCTTTTAGAAGGGTGTCACAAAAGTCTTATCCACAGTTTTATTTTCTTGTAGACGGGAGAACTAAGGACAAAAATGAGCCAGTCTCATGAAGACAGTTTAACAAGTGTTGCTTGGAACCCAGATGGGAAACGCTTTGTGACTGGAGGTCAGCGTGGGCAGTTCTATCAGTGTGTAAGTATTCAGGGCCTCATTCCCCATATCTACTTGTTAAAAGCAAATTCAGTTTTATCTTAATAAAAGAACTCACTTGACTCTGTCAATTTATAAAATATATTATATGAAGACACACTTTCTTTTCCATCCTCCTAGATAAGACTGCGCAATCAAGTTTATTTTTTTCTTTTTTTTTAACCTTTTCAAGTTTCAGTATTTTGCTAAATATTCTTGTTCTTAATTTATAAACAAGTTTCTAATTTATAGGAATGAAAAAATTTAGCATTTTTCCTTTTGTGGTTTTAACCCTTTGAATAAGAAATAGGTAAAAAGCCTTGTGACAAGGTAGACCATGATACAAATAGTGTCATTATCTGTTATCTCATATCACTGCTTCACATGCTTCCAGTAAGCACTTTCAGATTTATTTATTTTCAGGTTTTTGCCATAAAGTGCATGCGCTTGTCACAGAGAGACAGAGACAGTGAGCAGAAAAGTGAAAAATCACCTCCAGAGGGGTGGCCACACTGCAATCCCTTCTCCATTCTCCTGGGATTCTGGGCATGCATGCACACACACCCAGAATGATTTTCAAGCTGCCAGGTCTCAGACTTGAACCGTGGTCAGCCATGTGGGAGTCCAGCACCTTAACGATCATGCCACCTGCTAGCCCTCCAGATTTATGTTTTAAGACTAAAACAGAACAAGATAATAAATCATTTAATATAGTTAAACTTTCCCCTTAATATACCTATTACAGGTTACCAGGTCATTTTATTAAGCTGGCTTAACACTAAGAAATTTAGTATCCTATTATCTCAACAAAGTTAAAAGCCATTAGTTTGTAATTCTGGGTAGAAGATGACCTTGAATGTTTCTGTTGTTATTGTTACACAGTTTTGAAACCTTCAGAATATAAGACTTGATAGTCCTCTTATCTGTAAAATGAGAATGGTAATGCCTCTCATAACTTCAAATGTTCAGTGAGATAATGACTATAAGAGCTTTGATCTGTAGAGCACATTACAGATTTGATAAAGTTTTGAGAGTTTTTTTTTTTTTTTTTTTTTTTCTGCTATAGGGCACATGCGCTCGCCAGACAGAGAGAGACATAGAGACAGAAGGCGAGAAATCACCCCCCAGAGGGGATGGTCACACTGCAATCCCTTCTCCTCCATTCTCCTCTCGGGATCTTGGGCACACACGCACATGCGCCCGGCGTGAGTTTTAAGCCACCGGGTCCGGGACATGAACTGCGGTCGACTACGTGGGAGTCCAGCGACATAGCCATTACACTAACTGCTGGTTCCCCAGATTTGATAAAGTTTTGAAAAATGTTGTAACAAATTTCTAAGCTCTATTATCAAGTTAAAAAATGTCTTAGTAATCTTTTTCCAATCACAGCTTTCAAATATTAGGGCATAAATTCTAATATAGTAAATTTTAAAGCATTGTTTGAATTATTGTCTAATATAAGGGAGACCTTACTTGGAATTTAGGGACTGTTTCTTTCTTAGCAATTTAATTTTTATTTATGCATTGTGGGTTGTTGAAGGGAAAACACATTTACAGAAGGACTTCCCACCCCATCCTCTTTCATCTTAATAGTGAAAGCTGACCTTTATTCAAATTCTTACTGGTAAAAACACTTGGGGGACCAGCAGGTAGAGTAATGGTTAAGGCACTGGACATGGCGCTTTAACCCATATGGCCAACCACGGTTTGAGTCCCAGACCTGGTGGCTTCCTTTCTCACTTTCCTTCTCTCTCTCTTTGTCTCTCTCTGGTCAAATTAATATAAATAAATGAATAAATAAAATTTAATAAATAATTCTTAAAAAAAAAAAAAACTTTGGGACCAGTTAGATTGAGATTGGTCTTAGGAAAGAACAAGCCTCTTATAGAAAGACTGCTAAGAAATTCTTCGAGGATTTGGTTTGCTTTCTGAATGCAGTTCAGCAATAGAGTTAATAGTAGTTTTCTTCTCAGGATTTAGATGGCAATCTCCTGGACTCCTGGGAAGGGGTGAGAGTGCAATGCCTTTGGTGCTTGAGTGACGGGAAGACTGTTCTGGCATCAGATACACACCAGCGAATTCGGGGATATAACTTCGAGGACCTTACAGATAGGAACATGTAAGTGTTTTTTATTTTCATTTAAAAAGTTACCTAATTTTATGTTTAAATACATAGTAGAACTTATTTTTTCAAAAGAATGGTTTTTAAGATTTTTTTGTTTTAGTTTTGATTTTAGATTCATGTCAGATGCTACTTAATAATCATTAACTCAAATTTTTCTCAACTGAAGTGTGCAATAGTGATTCCAAAAGTGTCATTTAAGCCCCAGAGCATTTTATATTTTGAGCATTTCATTGTCTTAACTCTTAATATGTTATTTTTGACAAATTACCTTCTTGTTACAGAGTACAAGAAGATCATCCTATTATGTCTTTTACTATTTCAAAAAATGGCCGATTAGCTTTGTTAAATGTAGCAACTCAGGTACGTTAATTTATTTTTCAGAAAAATTTAGCTTAGTACAAATTTTAATTATGATTTTTAGTGTGCGTATATATAAATCTATAAATTTTATTGCATATGTTTGATCTTTAAATGTGTAGAGACAATTACAGATTTATCAGAACATTAATGTTTTGCGTTAATAGAAAATGGAAATGCTCCATCCAGCAAAGAGATAATTCACAGATTGCTTTTTCAAAAATTTTTTTGAGTCAAGGTAGAATAAATACCTATATTCTTTGTTCCCTGCAGGGAGTTCATTTATGGGACTTGCAAGATAGAGTTTTAGTAAGAAAGTATCAAGGTGTTACACAAGGGTTTTATACAATTCATTCATGTTTTGGAGGCCATAATGAAGACTTCATCGCTAGCGGCAGTGAAGGTAAGTTTTTTGTCATTGTCGATTCACATATGTTGATGGGTTTAAGGTTCTGTAATGCTCTCAATTTATAAAGCATCTTCAAGCATATTCAAGATATCAAATTAAAATTTCTGTGAGGTAGTTATTGAGTACACTGTTAATTTTCCTTTTTTGGAATGGCTTGAGCCCTTTTTTATTGTGATAAATCAGTAGTGCCTGTTCAGACCATGTAGAGATGTGTTTGATGCATGTCTCAAATCGAAACTTGGTTAAGTCATTCTGCTTCCAGATGTCAACTTATCTTTTCATGGTCCTGATTTTTTTTTTTTTTTGATGGTTAGTAATATCTAAAAAGTCAGGGTTAATTATGATGCTTTACCCTGAACGTGGACAGAATCGACTATTGTTAGATCTTCATTATTTCTGTAGTAGCCAAAGATAATTCAGTTTGATTGTTCTTTTTTTTTTTTT